ATTTTTTTCTTTTTGAACTCAACATTACACAGACAAACTTTTATTCTGATGTCAGTACAAAAATARACAAATAAAAACACCACCAGGTATGTTTTAAGCCTGATGGAGTTGTTAACTCCTGTCTGGACTTTAAATCTTTACCCATTTAGAAATACTTTTCCATCAACAGTGGGCTCTGGCTTGGCTCCTTGGGTCTGCGGTTAGTCACATCTGGTGGGAAYGAGCAGGACAACAACAAACTGCAGTAGGCGGTGAGGAAAAGAGGCGAGCGTGACTGGCGTCCCCACACGGGCCCGGACCACGAGGCAACATCAACAAATCATTACTAATGGGAAAGCAGGCCACGCCCCTTCATTCCTCCCAAATTAGAGCAAGGCTGGCTGCCTCTTTAAAGACGGGGCGATGCCAGCAATGTGACTGTCTGACTGTGTGTGTGAGTGTGTGTGTGTGAAGTGGAGTGAGTGGAAAACAAGTGGTTTTTACAACTGCAAAAAAACCTACAATACTACCAGTGAATACTTGAACAGCTGACTGGTGGTTTTGAGATGCAACAAACCCAAAAGGGAATGAGGCGCACGCACACACACACACGCATGCACACACACACTCCTGCTTGGTTTTCTCTCTAACCCCAGCTGAAAGTTGACGGCCTTCTGAGTGATGTATTTTTAGGCAGGCGTTAGTCTCTGCAGAATATAGTTTTGCTTCTGCTGGCAATGCTCAGCCTCTGCTTTATCTCCTCTTTGTCCTCAATGTGTTTATCTTTGTATTCTAACAGGAACTTTGGATCAGCTGGCGCAAACCTCGAGTTCTGGTAAATTTTAAAAATTTTTTTTTGTAAATTAGAGCAATCGTTTTGTCAATGCACCGTGACTGCCTCAAAAGGAACAAGACGAGCAGGGTCAGGGCAGAAGCGTGACTCGACAAGATGGAAACTAAAGCCTTTTTTTTCCCCAGTCTTTGCTGTAATTAAACAGAGACAGCCATCAGTGGGCTGGTGGCGACTGTTAAGTGTGAGATTTCATAAAGATGTGTCGCCTTGATCTTTTCATAGTCAGCCTGGCTGTCTCCATCCTGGAACACATCCCTTGACTGCCATGAATACAGCAACTCAAACCAGCAGTCCCATAAAGCTAAGCCCCCAGCTTCATCATCTCCAGCTGTTTACTGTAGACATAAGCCCTCTGCTTCGCTTTTTCTCAAACTCCTTCGTGGCAAAATAAATATATTATTAATAATAATGATAATATGCCATGTTCTTCCAATAAATGTTGACTCAACATTGACCACACCAAAAAACCTTAGCTGTTTATTCTTAAATACCCATAATTCAAAACTTGTTCTGCCAGCATGGGGACATATAAAAACATATTAGTGATTCAAAACATCAGCTGCTCCATCTCTCATTGMAAATACACAAAACACCTTGGGGAAAACCTCTTATCTAACAAGAAACTGAGACAACTGCCACCTGACTTCCCTTCAGGCAGATTAAGTCGAGAAATTCTTGAGTTGGTATGATACGTTTGGTGGGGAGTGTGTGTGTGTGTGTGTGTGTGTGTGTGTG